ACACACACACACACACACACACACACACACACACACACACACAAATAATAATAATAATAATAATCTAAAGAAGCCAGCATACTGCACCTAATCTTTGCTTCATCACAGTCTCCCATCCTGAGCAGCACACTGGCAGCAGTGCAGAGGAAAAACTCCCCCTTAACAAGAAGAAACCTCCAGCAGAACCAGGCTCAGGACAGGCGGCCATCTGCTTCGATCGGCTGGGTTTGGGGACAGGAAAGAGATGCAGCTAAACACAGAACTGGTCTTCTGGAAGAGAGACAAAACATAAAATGAAATAAAATAAAATAAAATAAAGTAAAAAACACATGTTATTGATATAAGTAATTAAAACAAACGTAGAGGAGAGAGACTAAAGACAGCAGAGTGAAGAAATGTGGTCTGTTTGTCCTCCAGCAGTCTAAGCCTATAGCAGCACAGCTAATTAACTATAATAACTAAGGAATAACTCAGGAAACCTAAGTATAACCGTAGGATTTATCAAAAAGGAAAGTCTTCAGTCTAATCTTAAAAGTAGACAGAGTGTCAGCCTCACGGCCAGAAACTGGAAGTTGGTTCCABAAGAGAGGAGCTTGATAACTGAAAACAATCACATAAACATGCTTTATAATTTAGAATATGTCAGTTAAGGCATGAAGAGCTACCTCAGACAGTTTAGCCCAAGAGCAGAGTGCTGAATACAGAAGTACGTTTTTACGACCTCCAAAATAGCCAACATGATCCATTGTTCAAAAGAGACAAGTGAAGCTGATTTTCACTTGTAATTATAACCAGTAGACCTTTGGTATAATGACTTCTGAATCAAAATTATGTCGGCTCACAAAAAACTGGAGGCATATTTAGGCCGAACAAAAGCCTTAAGAAGCATTGTGGTGGGAATATTATGTTTTGCGGTTACATCACAGCCGAGGGACTGAACAGTTTACTGTCCATCTGTTCCGTAAAATGTCAGTGAGTACTTTACAGTAATGAAAGGACATCATTCACCCAGAAAAAGAAGTTAACCTGAAAGTATATCATTTTATCAGTGTCCTTATTTTTAGTACACTAGCAGATCTACCAAGACAAAAAAAAAAAAAAAAAAAAAAAAAAAACCTTTGGGAATTGAAATCTGACCCTCCAGTCTCTTGTAGTTTAGATTTGAAATCTGAGACTGTTGCAGAGACTCAAATAAAATTTCACTCTGAAAAAAATGGCAGGTTTTCTAAAAATGCTCAAGTGTTGTGCAAAATATAAATGGCAAACAAAATAAATATTATAAAATCCAAAGCAATTTGTCACATTTGAAAAAGTGAAAAGTGAAAACGTGAAAACACAGACACGATTTGGTAGTAAAACTCATTTTGCAAATTGCAAAACTGGACTTCTGTCCCCCAAGACA